TCTCTCTCTCTCTCTCTCTCTCTCTCTCTCTCTCTCTCTCTCTCAAAATACGCCCAGGAAATAAATATTTCAAACACAGTATGTTGTCTGTCCCCAACCTGATGAGCAAAGTTGGGTGGCTGAAATAACTTCGTCCCAGGAGATGAGGCAAATGAAGTGCAGATGCTCGCACAACTTTGGAAAAACAAGGAGAGATGGCAAAGTGTGGCTAAAGGTCAAATAGTTGTTAAATTTATACAGAAAATTAAGCCAGAGAAAGTGAACTAATTAAGTTTTGCAGAGTAATTGCCAAGATCATTGGAAAGTGTAGTCAGTGCCCAGCTAGGAAAAAAAACAAGCCATTTTGTATTTCTCTGACAGCAATTCTTTGAGTATATGAAAATCACTTTTTAAAAAAATTTTTTTTTCACGGTATTCTCCCTGTTGCTTGTAAAGAGATCTGTTTTCTTGCAACGAATCTTATCCGACTCTACTTGGCGACAGATGAAATGACTTATCTTTGCTTTGTAAGTGGGTTTTACCGTCACGATACACAATTTACATTCATTTTTATACCTTCTTCCTCTCAGCTCTGGGTTTTATCCACGAAATACATGGAGTAGACTTCTTTAAAGGGGAGAATCAGCGAGGAAGACCTGGTAGCATCCTGCTTGGGTGTGAGGGAACATCAGACATCCATCAAAAGCGTTTCCGCTGTTATCCCCAGGAAAGCACTTAGAAGTTTGAGAAACAATTCTTTCCAAGAGCACTCAAATAAAGCAAGACAAAAGCCTCCCCCATCTTGCTGGTGAGGGGGAAGCCACGGAGACACAGGACAGAAGTCGCTGACATCCGGGGCTTTCTGAGATGCTTAGATCCCTAGCGCAGCGGGCCGGCAGCTCGGGCCTGACAGCTTTTGTTTCTGCCTTCTCTCAGCTCCTTCTGATGGGTCCTAAGCCTACCTACCTTGCTTCCTAAAGTCACCATCATGTTCACACCACAGCATCTCAGTGCCAGCCACGAATTCCTTCCCAGAGGCCCTAGGAATCAGCCCTGGGACAAGACGTCAGATTCCCGTATGTCACCTGTATTATCACAGATGTCCCATTTCAGAACAGAAAACTGATGGTCTGAGCCGGTATTTTAACGTACAATTATGGTCTTCGAGGAGGAAGCCAGGCAGAGTCATGCCCACCTGTAATCCCAGCACTCAGGAGGCAGAGAGAGGAAGATCCCAAGTGAGAGACCAGTCTGGACTACACAGCGAGACCCTGTCTCAAAAGCAAAACAAAATTCTTTAGAAAGAGAGAGAGAAAACTGTAAGTGTTCATGCTGTGCGTGGGCCTCCTGCCTGAGCTAATATGCTGGGTTTTGGCAGGTGTGGTACCCAATAAGCCAGGTATGTGGCAGGCCAAATCAAACTGTACTGAGGCCTCTTATTTTCCTGTTCATCTTTTCCATGATCCCAGCAAAAAAAGAACCACATTATTCTGGGATAAAATTCCGTGTTAATTAGGGAAAGCCTTTGTAAGCTTGCTCCGAGGCTGCTAATGAGGAAGAATTACTACATAGAAGAGTTTCTGCATGAAATGTTTTCATATTAAGCTTCATTTTATTGGGCTGTGGTATTCAACTAGTTTAAAACTCGTGCTTTAAAGAAAATTACACAGAAAGTTATTAGTTTAATGAAGTAAAAAGAACATCAATTTGAAGACAAGCCTGTCCTTCTTGGTCCTGACCCCCAATGGATAGGTCATGTGCGTTCTTTATTGGGGGGGGTGACTTTGAACGTTATTCTTTTTAATTTTCTTGTACAGTTTTTGATTATGTCCAGTTTGTTCAAAAATTATCAGTAGCTTTTTGTCGCCTTTAGCAAAAGTTTAAAGATCATCGAGACCTTTTCACAATCTCTTCTAAAGGATCTCTGGGCTTGTCAATACTGTGTTTCACTTTCCTACATGCACATCATCTTGAAACATGGCTCGGAGCACTGCACATACCTGAACTCCATTCTCCCCGCCCCATCTGATGAACCACTACTACGTTTTTCAAGATCTTAGTTCTGGTTGGGTCACTATTCTGGACTATAAACTTCAAGAGGACAGGAATTTTTGTGGTCTGTTTGGTTCACTGATGTTCAATTCATTTGAAAATCCTGTTTTGTTTTTTTGTTTGTTTGTTTGTTTTTGTTTTTAACTTCTGATTCTGTTGTTTCTCCTTATACCAACCCTGGTTCAGGACACATTTTATGTCTGGACTGCTAATGTAGTTGCCTACTGTCCTGGACCTTTCTGTGTTAGCCCAACCCTTTGTCCCAATCCTTTCTTCAGGAACATCGTGGTGAGACTTGGGGGAAAAATGTAATCAGATTTTATCATTCTCCTGGTCAACAAATCTCAGGGGCTTCCTCCTGGCCTCAGACTAGTGTTCAGCCTCTTTGGCTCCAAGGGATTGAAGGATTTCTACTTCATTTCTTACCACAGTTACGTGGATGGGGAGAAGGTTCCAGACAGCAAAGGTCTAGGAGAATGAAGCACCAGGTTTCAGGTTTTGATGTAGGACTAGTCTCTGTGGTTTAGAGAACATGACAAAGTGAGTGGAGCAAAGTGAGTGAGGAGAAGATGTCCGCAGGGACCAAAGCACACGGGAACTTCCCAGGTTCAAAGTCCTGCCATGATCAATACACCACCTGTGTCTTCACCAGAACTCTTTCTAGGACTGCATAACACTCTTTTCAGTGGAAAAACGGTCTTGAAAAGCCTGCTGAACCATTGAGGACTTACGGGGAGGGGGGTGTGCGTTTCTGACAGAGAAGAAGGATACTGTGGGGGTGGGGGTGGCTTGCAGTGTGGGCCGCCATCCAAGGGCAGAACACGAGAGAGACAGAGAGGCAG